TGCATGAGGGTCCTTATCCCGCACACTAGGACTTAATAATAGAGCAAGTCATCCTGGCAGCAACAGGAATTGATGATGTTCTGTCACTCTCAGAGGGAATTGTAAGAAGAAGAATAAATTTCTAGTTGCCTTTAAATGCCACCAAGATGCATGTCTCATCCTGACTTTACCCACCTGAACTGGGTCAATGAAGAACCTCCCAAAACATCTAAAACCAAGTTTGCAATATAGTGGAGAGCGTATGGCATAATAGGCTGTTGATATATGTTCCTGTTATGAGCTGATGTTTCTGAATAGCCATCAAAGACATACATTATGCCAGTTTGCAGTCACTTACAATGAGTTTCATCTATTCACTTTTCTGTGATGTGCCACCAATTGGTTTTTTTAAAAGTAAAAAACAACTACTCTTTATATATATATATATATATAAAAGCCACAGACTGTTACATAAGGAGATTCTGTTACAGTGCTTTGTCAGATGGCAAATAAATTATTTGTGCACACCCACTTTCATTATTCAGAAACGAGAGCAGTCTGCATCAATAGAGCAATTGGAACGAATGGCTCCAGCCCTGTGGTTTTGACTGGGCAGAGAATCTGAGCAGGTGGAACCTAAGACTGGATTGGGCAGCATAATGGAACTTTTTCCTTACAGCTAATCCACCTGGAAAAGAAATTGGAGGCACTGTCAGCAGGATGATGGAGGGGTGGCTTTGCATTGTTGCTCCCAGCTGCGAACATAATTAACAGCTTAACTTCCCAGGCATCCTGGCATGCGTTGCTAGCGCTAAACTCATTTTAAAGGGCCTTATTCCATGGTGGGCACAGGAGCCGTAACAATAATAAAAATTTAAACATGATTATTGCCTCTCCCATCTCTACTCAACTTATCTCCTCTTGTCTCCTTTCTCAAGCTCTATTATTCTTGCACATGCAGAAAAGGATAATGATAATGATAACGATAATGTTCTTATTTCTACCCCACCCATTTGGCGGGGTTTCCCCAGCCAGTCTGGGTGGCTCCCAGCAGAATAATAAAAACATGATAAAACATCAAACAGAAAATAACTTCCCTAAACAGGGCTGGCAAGTGTGGCGGCGATTCAAGGAGAATCAATACTATATTTTGGAACGAATACATGTTCTTATATAGCTGCATTGTATAATGCTTTCTGCATGTTCCATGATCATATTATAAAGCAGTTGTGTAAATGTTATAAAACTTTAAAACTTCCAAGGAAGGAGAGTCTACAACTTCCCAAGGAAGTCTGTTCCATCTGTTAAGGTAATCTTGAATCCTGATTCTGTCTTCAGAGGCACTGGCTACCCCTCCAAGTTTGGTGGCACCTGTAAATTTGATGAGCACCTCCTCAATACCTTCATCAAAGTTGTTTATAAAGTTGTTGAATGTATCACAACTCATTATGATTATTAGGTCATAATCTACAAAATAACCACAAAATAATGAGTGGTGTAGTTTTCTCCTTTACTAGCTTAGAATATGGAATGTGTTAAATCAAGACACTGATTAAAAATAAATGAATCTCACCAATCTCATCAATACTTCAATTGCTATTTCAATTTTTTTATATATTATTTATATATTCTGTGTCAAGAACTACTTAGGATAATGCAGAGTATGACTTTCTGATTGTTCACCAATGTATGGGCAATGGGTGTATATAACATTGATCCTAAAAACACACTACACTGCCTGCCTATGTGTTGGAAGGTATCTTTTGTCATATGTGCTGGATTTGTAAAGAGGTAAAGGCTTTCTGGGAAATGATATATGAGTTTAAGAAAATGTTTAAAAACACTTTAGTTAAAAAACCAGAAGCCTTTTTACTGGGTATAGTAGGTGAAGCAATACCAAAAAAGATAAAAGACTGTTCATGTATGCAACAACAGCAGCAAGAACCCTTTTAGCCCCCAAATGGAAACAACAAGAAGTACCAACGAAAGAAGATTGGCAGATGAAAATGATGGACTTTGTGGAACTGGCGAAGCTGACGGGGGGAAAATCTGAAACCAGCATGATCAAGTATTCCAAAAAGACTGGAGTAAATTTACACAATATTTGAAAGATCATTGTAAGCAGTTAACAACACTAGTAGGGTTATCTGAAGACTTGTAGTGAGAATTTTTTTGCCTTTCTACATTTATTTAAATTTTGAGATATTTTGTAATGAGTTATATTAGAATTGGAAAATATATAAAATGCTGTGATATAAAGGTTACTTTTGAAAGGCAAGAGGTGGGAGGGAAGGAAGTCAATAGGCACTAAAGAGCCAAAGAAGTAAAGTGGATAATAATGATGTGATTATAGATGCTTAAATGGAAAATTAATAAAAATTATTTTTAAAAAAAGCAAAGTGCTGCTTGTGCTTGTGATATTTTAGTAGGGGTGCAGGAGAAACAGGATTTGCTTCACATTTTAATCAGAAACTATCTAATTCATACTTTTTGAACCAATATGCAAACTGAAACAAAGCTACAGTACCCTTAAAAATACACATTTCTCTGAATGTGCTCTACAGTTCTCCAGCCAAACAATATGTACCCCCCCAAAAAACATATATGGGGGAAATGTGCATACAATGTATATATTGGTGAAGAAATATATATTGTAATGGGGGAAATCATTTGCAAAAATGTGTGTATTAGACAAAGCTGCATAAAAAAATGTATTCGTTAGGAGAAATTCACACTAAAACATTGGTGAATTTTCAAGAGAACCCCCGCCCTCCACAAAAGAAAAACAAAATCTGCAGAAATGTGGAGAGATGTCTTAAAGTTTGGAAAAATGAGAAATGCGAAGAACTGAAATTGACAGATTTCCCCATCCTTTCCAACTGGCTCTAAACAGCTTGAATCCCAAATTTCTTTCTGGAGTGCCTCCTTCAAAAGTGGGCAATTTTATCCTCAAGATTGACAGCTGTGTGTATGTGTCCCACAGCTCTGGCACACTGGTTAACTCTTACCTTTTGATTCCTGGCTCACCTCTGACAGCTGCATTCAGCTCAACCTTGACATTTAAGCACAGGCATGTAAGCAGGGCAACTCCCGGAATACTAATGAATTTAAGGAGTTTACCAAAACCATATCCCATCTAAAGCACATTTCCATTACAGTGGCCCCCTCGCCCTTTTTTGCGCTCTGCCTCTTACAGCTCGTTCCTATTTAATCTGGAAATGGATTAGTTAATGAGGTGGTAGAATCAATTACAAAACACCGAGTGAGGCACTTGAAGGTTCCTAGCAAATATTTGTTGAGCTCAGACTGTTTCCCAAGCGGTGAACAGAAAAGTCAGCATTGCCACAGCCGTCTCCTAGACTGGGGGCTTTCAAATCTGCCATGGCGGTCTTCACCTTAGCCCAGGAAAGAACTGACTAAGCCTTCTTATATGAGAGTAAAATAGCGTAAATTGTGACTGCCACTGTTGGACTCTGCATCGGGATAAACCAATCAAATGGGAGAGGATATAATCAGTGGGAGAAAAATTAGATTCAGCTCACATTTAAAGGCAAATCTATGTCTATGTAAGCAGGCATAGTTTCCCATTCTGCCCTGTATTGATCCCACGCAGCACTGCTTCCATTACATTGCTGTTCGTCTTCTTCCATAAAACTACATTATCCATCTGGCTGTCCTCTGTGGCAATATTAAGTTACTTACATAAATTACATTGTCATTATATTTTCCTGTCCCATTCATTTCAATGCAAAGGAAATGCAAGGCAAACAGGTGCAGGAGGTGTAATCAGTTACATAACATTTGCGGACTGAAAGCAACAACAGCAAGTACTGATCACAGAGTCACTGGATTGATTTCCATTCCAGACGTAGGACGAAGAAGCAAACATCAGTGATTTCCCACTCCTGTTTTCTGCTTTCACTAGCATTCTCCAACATCCCTCATAGTCCTCTTCCCAGCAATATGGATCAAAACATGCCAACTGCAGTCTTCTGGCAAGTGCTTTGCTGAACAAGGGCCTGTGAGATGCAGACACAGTTTGAAAAGCTGACGATAGACAGAGCCTAATGACCCTTTGGGGATAGGCTGTCAGGCCTCCAGAGAATTGCAGGCTGCTTCCATATCTTTGTTTCAGTCTCCTGCGCTGGAGACCAATTGGTTATGTATCATACACTTTCATTTCAACCATTTTCTTAGAATTTTTGGGAATTCTGGGGCTTCTTCAGAAAATGTTGAGACTGAAACCAATTTCAGAAGTGTCCGAGAAATGTGATTAGCCTTATAGAAACTCTTTACTTCCTTGAACATTATCGGATGTTTTGCCTACAAAACAATCCAGTAACTATTTTTGAACATCATGTTGGGAAAACCTTTTGTGGCAACTGCACATGATTAGCATTTGGAGGTGGAGAGACCCGACTTAGTCTTCCCTTCTAGGAGATTCATTTAAGTGGTACCTATATTAATAAATAGGGACGTGGGTGGCTGGCGCTGTGGGTTTAACCACAGAGCCTAGGACTTGCTCAGAAGGTCAGTGGTTCGAATCCCCGCGATGGGGTGAGCTCCCATTGTTCAGTCCCTGCTCCTGCCAACCTAGCAGTTCGAAAACACGCCAAAGTGCAAGTAGATAAATAGGTACCGCTCCGGCAGGAAGGTAAACGGCGTTTCCGTGCACTGCTCTGGTTCACCAGAAGCGGCTTAGTCATGCTGGCCACATGACCTGGAAACTGTACGCCGGCTCCCTCAGCCAATAAATAGAGATGAACGCCGCAACCCCAGAGTCGGCCATGACTGGATCTAATGGTCTGGGGTCTCTTTACCTTTACTTATATTAATAAATACTAATGATTAGAAACCACCTCACCTCAAAGGCTAAATTTGGATGAGGAGCAGACACCAAAAACATCTGGAATATTGGAAGCTGCCTCACTCCAAGTCAGACCATTGGTCCATCTAGCTAAATGTTACCCACTGGCAGTGACTGTCCAAAGTTTCAGACATGGGGCATTCTCAGCCTTCCCTGGAGATGCTGGGGATTGAACCTGGGACCTTCTGCAGGAAAAGCAGGTGCTCTACCACTGGGTTACAGCCTTTCCCATAGAGCTGGAGTACTTGGTCGAAGCGGGTTTGCTGGGATGTAAGTGAGCTGCCTGCCTACTGCTTCATAGGATCCCATCCCAGTACCTTGTCAAGATTGAAAACTCTTAGCATTTATTTCCTCTGAGATTAAACCTCAGAACCAAGGGGTGCAAGCTTACACATGGCATCTTGCTCTAACCATCTCATACAACCTTAAAAGGGTAATGTGACTATACAATACAATACGATACAATAATCTTGTCATTATTGTCATCTTGTCATCTTGTCATTGTCCCATACAGAACAACAAAATTGAAAAATCTACATCAGACTTTCAAAAACCAACAAGCCTACCATCCCAGCTATCCCAGCCTAATTAATCCCCTAAAAACTCTGATACCCCATAATTAAATACAATATACTCCCATAGAGACTACCTTACACTGCGTTTAAAACCAAAATCGCATTTGGATAGAAACTGTTTCTCAGGTGGCTAGTCCTAGTCATTATAACCCTGTACCTTCTTCCAGAAGGCAGAAGCTGAAAGAGATCATATCCTGCACTATCTCTGCAGCTTTCTTATGACACCTGGAAGCATAGATTTGATCCAAGGTGGGAAGAGTGTACCCAATTATTCTCTCCACAGTCTTTGCAACCCTGGACAGCATCATTTTTCCCTGACTGTGCAGCTCCCAAACCACACACACAGACCATAAGTTAATACACTCTCAACAGTACAATGGTAAAATGCCACCAACTATTTCATGATGAGCTGTTCTACTGAAATAGGACCAACCACCACACTTTCCAAGCATGTTTTTCGACACTGGTCCGTGGCTGCTTATTTGTCCGATCTCTGTTTATTTTGCAGCTATAGGTCATTTGACTGAAAGCCGTCTATCTGCCCATCACCTCTGGATGCACTTGGCAGGCAGCTGTTCAGCTCTGCCCCCAAGGGGGAAAACTGTTAACAAATATATGAAAGCCATAAATTGCCTAAGACTCTTTTGCACACCTACGGCACAAAGCAAGCATCAAAGAAACTCTCCACACAAAAGGGAAGAGTGAAAGAACTTCTCATCCACTCCTTCAGTTACTCCTCAGATCAGACCTTCATTGTCTGATAGAAAAGGGAGCAGAAGGAACTGTGAAAGATGGAGCATCCGGCATCTTAGATTACAAGGAACCTTGACATGGCTGCTTCCCTTATCACTGTACTGAACTGCCCTCAAGGCCCCAATTTGAATTAGCCTTTTCAGAAGCTGGGAGCAGGAAGCTAGCTAAACGTGGCAGCTTGACAGCATTGGCCCATTTTGTATTGTACAGCTATCTCTCTCCATTAAGGCTAGTGTCATTCTGTCTATTTTTCTGCTTTGACTGGCATTGTCTAGGGGTGGGGAACAACACTCTCTTCCTTGTTGTCCATTTAAGTCTCCCGCTGGTAAATTTGGAACACTCAATGGAGAAAGATGATAGGCACTCGATGCCTGTATGTGTACGCTGTGTTGCTGGAAACGGAATGTAATTGTCTGTCCAAACTTGGTGCCCTTTCAGCTGTTTTGGACTATGACTCTCAACATCACAGGCCATTGGCCATGCTGGCTAGAACTGATGGAAGTTGCAGTTCAAAACATCTGGAGAATACTAGGTTGGGGAAGGGTGGTCTAGAGACTCACCTGAATTAGGATGCTGACAATTTTGCTTGCTAAGTTGAAAATATGGCCAACGTTAGAACTGAATTGGCAACCAAGATGGAGAATTTTGAGGGGCCATTTGTAGCTTGAGTTATTCCCAAAACTGGCATCAGACATGGCAGTCCTAAGACTAAGATATATATATGGGTTCAAGAAAGAGGAGGAACAGATTATGGTCAGGAGTTGGATACATTAATGACATTTCTCCAGTTTGGGTGACATGATTTTCTGCCATCAGACCTTCAGCTCATGTATCTTGTATATTTTTCCAGGTTCTTATTTTCCCCACCCCAGTATAGAACTCTCACTCTGACAATGGAGATGAGCCTTTCAAAAGAATCCCTTTTGGTTTAGCAATGCCTGGTTTATTTCAAACAAAGCTGTGTAAGACATCGTTGAAATCTGACAGGTCGTAACAACTGAGGCTAGACAGATACTTTAAGGAGGGTTGAGAAGATATAAATATCTGGCTGTGTCAGCATTCTGCTTAGCACCCCTTGGAAGCTGACAAAGTGAAGGGTTAAGGCCGTTCCTACTGAATTTTGCCTAAACTGAAAACGTGGGTGGAAATTTTGTTGGAAATTTAGATTAAGGCAAGACCAAGAATTCTAAGGGAAGCTAAATGAGTTCTTATGAAACTAGTGAAAGTTCTTGGGAATGGGCCTTTTCCTAAAAACTAGCGATACAGGAAGATATGGAGGAACCACATTTGGAATACTGTGTTCTGGTCACCTCAAATCAAAAAGGTTATTTTAGAGTTGGGAAAGGTTCAGAAAAGGGCAACAAAAATGGTCCAGTGGATGGAGCTACTCCTCTGCAATGAAAGACTGTAGCATAGGCACCTGTTCCCTTGATATGGCTCTTCAGGTCTTTACGCTGAGGTCTTTCCCATCACTTGCCACATGATCCTTCCAACTGAAGATGTCAGGGACTGAAGCCGGAACCTTCTGCATGCAAAGTCTTTGCTCTAGTGTTTAAGTACAATTAAGAACACAAGGCAAGCCTGCTGGATCAAGCCAAGAACTGACTGAGTGGCCAACCAGATGCCTGTGGGAAGGCTGCAAGTAGGACTTGAGTGCAGCATCGCTCTCCCTACTCCCAGTGTCCTGTTGGTATGCTGGTCTGATTTGCCCCCACTGGGGCTGTATGGCTGTTGACCGTTGACTGCATGATGGAGAGCAGGATGAACTTGTCTTGCTCCAGAGCTTCTGAGACACCTTCTTCTTCTTTGGCAATCACTTGTAGCCGAGTAAGATTGTCTTCCATAAACACGGTTTTAACAATGAGTCTGTAAGTGACTGTGGAGGCCAATTCTGGATCCACATGTCCTTCCACAGTGGGGACATTGGTTTCCGGGCGGGAGTTGATCATGGTGTGGATTTGCCAAGTGTGCCTTCCTCTTAGCACGTTTCTCCCTTGCATTCTGAGTTCGAGTGTCTTCAAAGCCCATGACACCTTTGGTAAAGGCTGTTCTCCAATTGGAGCGCTCACAGGCGTTTCCCAATTATTGGTGTTTATACTACATTTCCAATTGTCTTTTGTGACCGCTAGGTGGTGACCCTACTGAGCGCGGTAATCCAGTCAGGGAAAAAGGGAGGCAGACTATGTTTAGGGTGCCTTTTCTAGCCCCCCCCTTCAGGGTGAGCAGAGTGGATCCTAAAAAGGGCTGCTCAGTCATGGATGCAGCTGCCGAGCTGCTCAAATACTTCATTCCCTGAGTCAGAATGACTGATTTGTATCCAACACTAATGTGCTGGTTCACGACTAGGGGCTTCCAGATTTCACGATCCTGCCACCATTACCATTTGCCGATCGCAATGGGACTTTTGGGGTTTGGGATGGGTTTTTGGAAGACGCCTGCACGTGGATTTGTTTTATGTGTGTAGATCAGTGCACGCTGACCAACACACAGTCTTTGCAGTAAGGTTCTGTTCCGATGGCAACCGGTAGATTCTTATCTGATGCAGCCTTCATCCGCCTTCACAGCCATTGTAACATACCACTTGTTATCATCCGCCTGTTCTGCCGCTGAGGACTTCTTGGATCATTCTTTGTCTAGCTTTGACCTTTTGACCTTACCGCTTTGGGTAACCCTGTTGGGAGTATGAGATTCCTGATGGCTTCACTCACAAGGATCATAGGAACATACAAACCCACTCACCATGACAAGGTGATGATCCAGCACAGAAGGTTGAAGGAGCATTCTGCTTATGTTCTAGAACAGCTACACAAATTCACTTAAAAAGTTCAGTCAGTTCCTGATAGTAGAAGTATTCTGATGTGCTTCTGCATATAACTCAATTGAGAGAAGGCAGAATCTGATTACTGTTGTGATCTCATTTTCCCCAACTCCCCCTACGTGGAAGAACATACCCTGGACACAATGGTAGAAGCTTGTTGATGAACAAGCTGCAAAACACTGATTCATCACCAAAGAACTGGAGAGCATGGCCTCCGTCGTTAACATTTCGTTTTGTTCCCTTTGCTGACACCATCTGATCGCAATCTTGGTGAAAAAGTGACCTCTTGCTAATGGTGCACCTGCAAGGAAATAAAACCCTTTTATGGGACCTCATAATTCTCACTAGAACATTATGGACTTTTCTTTCGATTTTTTTTTTTAAGCAAGCAAGCAAGGGTTGTACAAATTGCTCCCACAAAAAATAAATCAGGCGATAAGAACCAAAAGCAGATGTTTTAATAGTTGAGCCAGTGAATTTCCATCCCAGTTTATGAGTCGGTTGGGCAGACCAGGCACCCCAAAGTGTCCACCTATGGTGTTAATGAAATCCAAAAGTTTCAAACTCTTACAATAAATTATGCATAATATACATAGGCTTATTTTCAAGTCTACAAGACTGGGAGTTGATACCTTCCACCACTGCACAGGATTACCCATTGAGCTCTCATCTTCACAAGTACATACTGGTGAATTTTGCTTTGGGGGATGGTGGAGACCTGGCTTGGGCCAATGCTCATATGATACATGGTATGTAATTATGGGTGCCATGTGTCAGGGACCATGCTGAGGAAGAATGGTGGGAGCCACCCCCTCCTCCTGATCCTGATCCTGAATCTTCCCAGAAGCAGGAGGACAGTATAGATTTGAAACAGTGGTTTGCAGAGGGCCATAGTGCAGAAGGCAGAAGCTGGGAAATACTGGATGGGGGACAGCTAGCAGAAGAAACACTAGAAGAGAGAAAATTAACAGATTCACAGTCTCTGGATAACATCCACCACCCTTCCCCAAAGTCACGGAGAGCTCAGAAAGTGTCAGAACAGAAAGCGCAGAGGCTATAAGATCAGATTACAAGATG